ATCACTACAGAGTTATTCTCTGTGAAATGCTACCCAACTCCATGATGGTCGTAATGACTATTGTCTTGTTCTGCTGTAGGTAGAGGATTGACTGGTCGATAGAGCTTTTCAACTATATGTTTTCATTCATAGCAAGTCCTGATGACTTCATTCAGTTTACCTCAGTCGACAAGTTCCATCTGCTGAGGCTGGAAAATTAAGTGAAGGATTTGAAGCTTAATTTTTGCATGGGTTCTTCTCCTAGGGGATGGTACATTCAGACCATCATGCTCGGTAAAGTCTAAGATGGTGTTAGATCGAGTGTTGGTGGAGGCTTGGGACGTTGAAGAGCGCGAACTCCGACAAAAACCAATTGAGTGTTACAACCAATGCCTTCAATCAAATGACTGAGGAGGATTGGATGGCCTCCGACGCTCGAGAGGTCGAGAGAGAGACATCTGACTTCCGCTTGAGCAACTAAGGTCCATGTGGTGGATGGTGCTGAAATCGCCTGCCCAAGATTGCTGAAGTGGAGGGCCGATGGAAAACCTAGGTAGTCCTTGTAGGAGAAATTTAAAAGGTGTATAACTTGTTTTTTCTAAGTTTGATTTGTTTATTATTTTAAAGGATTGCTACTGACGAGCCAATTCTCATTGAGAGGAAAATATTTACAGCACACACTAAGAGTTCTCTGTCGGGAGCAGGTCCCTCGGGCGTGCAACATTAAGTGGCCGAGAGGATGGTGAGCCTGGTTCAGTCAAGCCAGAGCGAGGGGGAGGCTTCAATAGAGCGATAAGAAGCAACACTTGCCGCCACTCAATTAGCCGCACCTTTCTTCATTGACCTTCCTACTAGGGAAGAAACAAGCCAACTTTCTTCGGTCAGCCCGAGTGGACCCGAGTCCGAGTCTTAGACCTCTAGCTAAGAGGAAGTGCGTTGTAAGGGGAAGGTACTCGTGATTGATTTGAGCAACTTGCCTTCTCCTCCATCTTGAAAGAAGCATAAGAGCTTCGCGCTTGGGTGGGTTCCAGTGCAAGATGAGGGGGCAAAAGCAAGCACAAACTTTGATGATTGGTTCACTATAATTGATGTTAAGAAAGATTGGTATTGTAACTCCCATGTTGGCCTTTTACCCTCCGACTCTTGTTGATGCCATTTGATCTCTCACTTACGAAAATGTCCTTCTGGAATACAACCTCTCAGGCATGTGGCGAGCGACCAATAAATATCAACTGATGGCTTATGAGGCTTCTCATCTTTTGTCAACGCTTCTTCTGACAACAATCGTGGAGAGGGCGAAGGCAGTGGTGGCAGAGTTACAGAGACAATTTGAGTTGCTCTTGATCACACTAGAGGAGAATAAAGTGATAAAGGACCAAATAGTAACAATGAAGACGTTTGATGATTTTTTTTTTTCAATATCTTCTCTCACCCCTTTCAGGTGGTTTTTATTACCACAAAGCTCGAGAAGGTGGTTTCCTTCGACGTGGTCGCATGGTGAAGACACTGTTGGTCTCCCCCAAATGGATCGACATTGAGAAGTTTGTCGCTTTGTTGTCAGTCTTGAAGGAGAGAGAGGAAGAAGAGAGTGACGAGGACAATGGATGGTCGTCTAATGTATGACTCACCCTTAGTTTTTCCTGTACTCAGAAAAATTTTATTTTCTTATTTTTAGTTTGTAAAAAAATGTTAGAATGTCTTAAATTTTCAATAATGGGGGGTGGTTGATTGTGTCCTCAACTTCAGAGGGCAAGAGGGCGAACATGGAGTTTTTAGTATCGGTCGACTCGATCACTGTAGATAGTTTGTCGGTGGGCACCAATTATTTGCGATCATTAGCAAAAATGTCTCTTATCCACCAAGCAACCCTCACGAAAGTAGCAAATTTGCTTTCTGAGTTGGTCTCCACTCGTGGGCAGTTTGTGGGAAATAAAGATGAACTCTCTTCCACTCCAAAAGATTGAAATCTGGTGGCGCATTGGCACAACCTAAAGGTGATGTGTCAGTGATGCAAGATCAGATTGCAAACTTGGAGGGAGATGTTGTGGGGTTGAAGGGCCAAATTGTTGCTTTGGAAGTGAAAATGGAGACGAGCTCGGAATACACATAGACCTAGATGAAGTGAAGGCTGGTCTAGTCTAACGATTAATGCATTTTGGCGATGAGTTATTCGTTTCTATCAGGAGATTTTTCTTGGATAGGTTTTTCTGATTCAACTGCATTTTTCTAGATGATATTAGAAAAAATCGAATCGATCTTTTTTATGATGGTTTGTAATTATATGCATTTTTTACGTTTTATGACTTTTTTTTGTTAAACACGACTATTTGATGAAAAAGTGATAAGTGTTTATCTTAATTTGTCTGTCATATATTTAGTTTACTCTTTTATTTTCGAAGTACCCGTGTTGAGCAATTATTATAGTGAGTCGAATTCACTTGATTGTGGGGAATGCTTATTAGGAAATGAGTTTAGTCGGTCAACACATTGAGTCATTTTGTTAGGTTGAAAGACAATTTAATGAAAAATGTAGTTGAATATGAACTCGTGTGACTATAGAGAGCTTTAAGACTCGTCTGATGTGCTACCACTCAATTCTAGTCTTATTCCTCTTTTGTCTTGGTCGCTCGATTAGGGCGTCCCCTTAAACTAGCCACACCTTATACCAGTTGTAATCATGCTCATTATGAATCTTTTTGCTAATGAGTATGGAATCTTCGATAGAGCTTGACCTAGTTCAAGCTATGAGACATGAGTTTTGATGATGCATGAGCATTGTAGGTCGGATATTCGGGCCAATAAGACTGAATCTTGGCTAGATTTTGCCAATTGGTTGATCTAGTGTAGCTATCAACCCTCGGTTTCTAGATGAGGGCCTCCTGTCGACGGAACGAGCATAGACTATCGAATAGAGGGTAAATTAGTGTAAATTGATAGATGGGTCATTCATTCACAATGGCTTCCTTCATGATTATAGCGAGGTTCTATTCTATTGTTGATTTTGGGTCCTAATGAGGATTCTTGAGGGGCGTCCGTGGGACAACTGTTGATGGTAAGGAATTAGATTCTTTCCTTGAATCGGATCTACCGAGAAAGTCGATGCCTTTGCTTGGCTTTCTATTGGTGACTAGCTTAAACACTTATATGTCTTGCTCTTGTTCGATCGGTTCGAACTCAAATCATTCATTTTGTCTCTCTTTTGGCTTGGTTAGCCTTCATTCTAGGATTTGATTGGTGCATCCAATTGGATAAGTTAGTTTCTTGGTCTCCAGTTAGTGGGTGCTCTTTTGTTGTACTTCATCCTGGACCATTGGATCACCTCAGAATTCATGCCTGCACATTTTTGACATACATTAATATAGAAAAATTACATGTAATTCATGTAAAGTTGAAATTTTAGGTGTAACATGTAAGTAGTTAAAAGAAAAAAAATTGGTTTTATGGCCACCTTTGGGGGACGACTTTTGACATCGTTTTAAAGTTAAATTAGAAAGAACCGTTTTATTTAAGACCAGGTTTTTTTTTTTATATAAAATAGTGTTTTAATTAAGGTCTATTTAATCAATTTTAAAATTTAAGTCGCGCATTAAATTGGTATAATTTCTGTAATCTATTTAAGTATTATCATTTTCATCCGGGGGAAAAAAAATCTATTTTATCAATGAAAGGTGATCTCATACTTAAACTTATTTCAATAAAACCTTATAATTTTTTTGGCATGATAATATAGGGTTGTGTAATATTATAAATGTGAAAATTCTTTATTTAATGATATAAAACATTAAGACATATCTTTTTTTCATACACACAAAGGCACCAATACACGCATCATAAATATGCAAAGCCTTGAGCCTACACATATAGTTCCAAAAGTATATTTTGAATTATAAAATAGTTAGAAAAATAATAGCTTTAAGACATACATAAGTGGGATTGTTTAATTAAAGGTAGGTAGAATATGTAGCCTAGTAGAGATAAAAATAGAGTTAATAATAGTTAGTGCATTTTTTAATTGGCTATTTTAACAATTTAAACTTTATTATTTACATATTCACAACTCAAAACTTTCGATTTACATATATAGCACTTAAATCTCTGATCATGCCTAGACGCAATGTATTGTCCTCTCATTCACTGAAAATTATTGAGTTAAGACATGCTTAATTTCCTGAGAATAATAAGAATAGTAAAAAAATAATTTAATTTGATGCACTTTCTAATGATGGCTAATTTAAATTTCATTTGAATCCCACATTTACATAATTTTCATGACATGATAAACATGACACTAAGCATGATATTGTAAATGAGAAATTTTTAATTATATAATATAAAATATTATGGTACATTTGCAAAATTTATAAAAGAAAAATACATTTGTGCTTGATATTTTCTTTATGAACTACTTTGACAATGTTGTTTCAAAAATCTTTTAAGGAAATTGAACATTAGTGAATATTGTGAGTTTGATCAACTATTCTAACGAAATTTCTCATAAACCACAGCGAAAAATGACATTCTCAATAGCTTATACAACTCATTATTAATAAAGAATATATCATACATAATTTTACCATTTTAGTTGATATATCCAAAGAATAATATTTTAAGTATTTTGAAAAAAAATACTCAAAAACTAACCTCAACAATCAATATAGCACGCAAATAAAATATAAATTAACTTAAACAGCTATAGGTAAACTGTAAAGTGCCAAAATAATTCTCGAGGCCGTCTTAATCCCAAAGTTCATAAAGTTCAAAAAGAGAACATAATAGTTGAAGTGCGTCTCAAAATACAACGATAAAAAGCATTTGACATAGCTTGTAAAGCGCACGGGGAATGAAGTCAAAGTCCCCAATATTGTAATTAGCAGCTAAAAAATTCAATCCCTAATATTGACAGCTGAAATGATTTACTCGTTGATTTAGCAGATATAACACGAAAACTGTACGAAAATCATAAGAGTATGCTCCGAACAAACAAATATTTCAAAAAAGAAGCATTTCTTCACTTCCCTAATGAATGTATCAAAAAGTCATTTCAAGTTTCAACCTAAGTACCTGAAGAAAATATAATTCAAAGCATACTACAAAACAACAATTAATCTTAGAAACCCACAAAATTAGATGACCATCATCAATATTTTGTACAAACCCAACTTCCAAATTTCAAATATAATCTCGGTTTTCAAGCACATTTTTGGATCTCATCACTGAACCTTAGTTTTCTGAATCCTAACATAAGGGAACAATCCAAACAGATGGGCGATACGGGGATTCCATCCGAGTTGTTGGGCGCGACAAAACATTAGAAAAGTGTTCACTAAATAAGAATTAAATCCCATGAACACATGCCACCAAGCATGGCCCTGAGGGTTTATATACCAGATAGAAAGCTTCTTACAGAAAAAGTGATCTACCAACCAAGATAGGCATCCCAGAAGAAGTGTTGCTACATAGAACTTCGCAATCCTCTTAGCTCCAGAATCTTTAGTATGTATGTAGTATTTGTACATCCTTGGAACACAGAGAAGACAGAGGAGAATGTATTGTACCTTGAATAAGACATCGACACGCAATACTAAATGGGTAGCTGCAAAACCAGCAGCATACAGACATAAGAAAGTTGGCATTGTGCTTCTGTAATGCCAGTCAGGTGAGTAGAGGACATAGAGGTAGAGAAGCATTTCCCAGAGCATTGGTGTTTCATCGCTTTGTTGGACTCTGAAAGCAGATCGGAACGAGATCAATAAATCTGAATTATAAAACAAAAGAGAAATTACATACATAGCGCACAATTCTTATGTAAATATGAAAGTTTAGGTGTGAGATCTGTAAATCTTGTGTGCTATGTATGCAATGTGCTATGTATGCAAATGCCCCTAAGAAAAATAAATGTAGGATCAGACATTCAGATGAATTAATTATTCACACCATGGGATTCAGCTGAGAATTGCACAACATAAATTAAAGGAAATTATTAGAATCGCATAAAATTCAGTTCAAAATTGGATAATGAAACATCCTAAAAAAAGAGATTATCCAAATCACATAAGCAAATGAGCATACTTATTTTACACGCCGCACTAGCCATTCAAACTTCAGAGTTCTATGAAGTGGGTAGAAACTCTAGATATCCGCACAGTTCACTACACACACCTTTGTAGGCTACTGATGATAGCATGACATGAAATAAAAGGAATAATTAGAATAGAATAAAAACTCCGTTAAAGATGAAATAATGAAAAAGAAAAAAAAAGATGGAAAAGAAAAAAAGAAAATCCAAACCACATAAAACAAATGAGCATACCTTCTAAAATTCTAATACTAGCCATTCAAACTATAGAAGTTCTAGGAAAAATCTCAAACATGTTTATTTACCAAACAACACATTTCTACACATTTTGACAAACAAGGTGATACAGAGAGAGAGACCCTGATTCATTTCAGCTTATGAGGAGACCGTTGCAACTTTTCAATCTATAACAGAAATGAAAAGAGATTTGAACATCAGATTTCTATTCAAAGATTCAGCTATTTTTCATTAATTTACAAGCTTGGATGTTCATAGTCAACATAATTCTTTATATCTATAGCTTGTCCTACATTTAATCATATTTTGAAAACTGTTATGTTTGACAACAGAACAGGTGGGAAATAGCTTGCAAAATAAAATCCAGTAATAGTGGATATCTACAATTTTTAGAGCCTCAGATTTTTGGGTACCAACATGCATCTTCATTGGAGCTATCCTAACCATTTGGGATCAGCCTTATAACAGTTCTCCATTGATATTTGATTGCTACATGCAGTCTTAAATTAACACAAATCATTTTGGCCGGAAGAAGTTAAACATACATCTCCAAGCATGCAGAATAGAGACAATATCATTTTCCATCAACGTGAACAATCACTGAGGCCTGCTTGGTTATCAATAAGTGGGAAGAGTAAGCACTTTCCAATTTTTTTCACAAGCAAATATATATACAAGTATGAAAGCAAACACAAAAACAGACAAAACATAATGCCTCTACATATATAAATGTAAACAAAACATATATACATATAATCACACATGCATACACTAAATATTCACTAGTTCCTTCCATGATGTTCAATCTAGAACTAGAGTCATGCCCTTCTTCTATTTGATTAAAAATTAGTGATACATAGTTTTTTCAAATCACAAAGCACAATCCAATGTACAAGGGTTTATTTTTATTTCAAAGAGCAAAGCGTTGAATGAGACAGCATTTTTATTATCTGAAGCTCTTATAACTTAAATAAGAATAATTGTTCAATCTAGAACTAGAGTCATGCCCTTCTTCTATTTGATTAAAAATTAGTGATACATAGTTTTTTCAAATCACAAAGCACAATCCAATGTACAAGGGTTTATTTTTATTTCAAAGAGCAAAGCGTTGAATGAGGCAGCATTTTTATTATCTGAAGCTCTTATAACTTAAATAAGAATAATAAATAAACTGATAAATCATTAACAATTATAGAACAAAGAATATCTTTTAGATGACTTTAAACTTGATGTAGAATAGAAAACATATATGATGCACATAACTGATTTGAAGATAAATTTCAAAGGTGAACCTGTAAATTCAATTTTCTAATAATTTCTAAATCCTAAAAATTTGCTTTAATAAAACTTAAAAATTGCAGAAAAACGTAAAATCCTCTTATAATAAAAGCTAAGTTCTAATCCATAAATAAATTAATAAATTGTCAAGCTTCAGTAAAACAAACTAAAGAAATGAATTAGTCATCATTTTATTTTTTATTAACATAATCACTTTTTCTTTTAAGAAAAAGTGATTCATATTCAAATTCTTCTCATCCACCTTTTGAATCAATTACATCATCTCATTCTAGCACAAATAAAGTGGATCTAGGTCGAGAAGAATTAGCTCTAAATGTGAAGGAATCCCCATGATTTTTTGATCTACTAAATATTAAAGATTATCTTCGATGAGCTTCTCCTGAAATATCTTTAATTTGCCTCCAAGTGAGATCTTCATTAATAAACTATAGCTCACCGACATCCTCCACTTCTCCATCCAAACACTCGAAATTTTTATTGAGAATCTAAATTGAGTAGATCAATTATATCTCTCATATTGAATATTCTTTTTAAAGTTTGATTGCATTTGATGAAAGCTAATAATTTAAACGCTTCTAATTTTGACCAATTTCTTATTTTTTGTATGAATCTTTAAAAAAAACATAATGAATGCATAAAACATATAAATCATTTAATATATTTAAAAATTTTAAATTATTTGCTTTTCAAAGGCACTCTAACGTCTATCACACCTAATAGCACTCCAAGCCTATCCTAAAATCAAAATAGTCAATTTTTTTAAAGTTGGGACCACAAAATTACAATCACAACACCATGTTAATGAAAAGCTTTAATCAACTAAAAATTCAAAATTATGCAAAAACTTTAGTTAACATGTTCATATATAAAGATTCTTTATCTCTATCTTGAATTGCATAATTAGTGGCGCATAAGCCACAAATATGATACAAATAAAAAGTTCTTAATCTATAATATTTTTTTCATTTTGGTCTCCAATTAACCTGCTAATGATTGCATATAAGTCTTCCATCAATTGCCCACCCAATTTTATATTAGACAAATTCTTCTAAGAAAACTTTGAATGAACATAATATTCACTTGATGTAGTGTATCAGAGTTGACACCTTCATCTATCATTTTAATACAAAAAAAATGCTCATATTTTCTTTCAAATCCTTCAAATGCAACACTAATTGCACCTTTCATTCTATTCAGTGCATCAAAAAAATAATCTATTATCAGGCACTTATCGTCTACAAACCTTAGAAATTCATTACAAAAACACAAATGTCTTAAATTCTCTTTTTGCTTCTGTACACTCGCAAGAGCAAAAAAAAAATTTGTACAAGTAATCTCGAATCTCGCACCAATTTTACACCACTAATATATTTTCTCATCATAATAAACCATGATTATTTATATAAATAGCTAATTCTAAAACTTTCTTTATACATTTTTTTACAACCTTGATTTTACCAATATACTCTTAACATCATATCGATATAATGGTCCGCATAAGGTTTCCAGTATATGTGCGTTCTCATCTTCATAAGCATTTTACCTAGATGCATAGAATATGTATTAGCAATCTACAAGAACATAGCTTGAGTCACTGTATGTGAACACTTGAAACACATTTTCTTCAATCTTCTTAGCTTGTGCATCTAACAGTTCAAAGAACTTTGATGCAAAATTTGAATATTTAAAAAACACATTTTGAATATTCAAATGAATCTACTGACTCAAAAAATACAGTGCCAAATGGTGAATTAACCAAAATGTTAGTTATAGAACATTCTCTACGATCAATTCACCCATTAGACATAAGAGTGAATTCCTTCTCTCACAAAAATTTCTTGTGGTCTTCCACATTCTTCATAGTTGCTTGCAATTATTTTTCAAGCAGAGGGAGCTTAGTTCATGATAGACATTGGTCGAGGCTCATACTCAACAATTGTCTCCACCATATGATCAAAACTCATCAACTTCACTGCATTTGAATAGATTCCTGTTTGATAGAATCATATGACTATATTACATAGTTATATCTCTAATTCACTTATCTATATTTTCTCTAATTCCCATTTTTCTTATATCTTTCTTTTTTGCAATCCCTTTTTAAGGTTCTTTAATCAATAAAAAATACAACAAATCTCACTTATCTATACAACAACAACAACAACAACAAAGCCTTAATCCCACTACGTGGGGTCGGCTACATGAATCCTTTTTCTCCATTGCGTCCTATTTAGTGTCATATTTTCATTTAGTTCTAGTAAATTTATTTAATTTTCTTACTCCTTGGTAAGGAAGCAGCACCTCTTAATTTTAAGCAAAAAGAACTCTATATATATATTACCAACCTACAAGAACATAGCTTGAGTCACTGCATGTGAACACTTGAAACACATTTTCTCCAATCTTCTTAGCTTGTGCATCTAACAGTTCAAAGAACTTCGATGCAAAATTTGAATATTTAAAAAACACATTTTGAATATTCAAATGAATCTACTGACTCCAAAAATACAGTGCCAAATGGTGAATTAACCAAAATGTTAGTTATAGAACATTCTCTACGATCAATTCACCCATTAGACATAAGAGTGAATTCCTTCTCTCACAAAAATTTCTTGTGGTCTTCCACATTCTTCATAGTTGCTTGCAATTATTTTTCAAGCAGAGGGAGCTTAGTTCATGATAGACATTGGTCGAGGCTCATACTCAACAATTGTCTCCACCATATGATCAAAACTCATCAACTTCACTGCATTTGAATAGATTCCTGTTTGATAGAATCATATGACTATATTACATAGTTATATCTCTAATTCACTTATCTATATTTTCTCTAATTCCCATTTTTCTTATATCTTTCTTTTTTGCAATCCCTTTTTAAGGTTCTTTAATCAATAAAAAATACAACAAATTTCTCTTTCTCTTTGTAGCTATATTACTTCTTTCTGATCATATGTTGATTCAATTGCTCTCTTACCATCATGCAAGGGTCATTGAATATCTAATTCTTCAGAAATATCAAACACCCTCTCATTATGTTCCATACAAATTTTTATTTAATTTTCTTACTCCTTGGTAACGAAGCAGCACCTCTTAATTTTAAGCAAAAAGAACT